CAAAACAGAATGATTGGCCCCTAGGGCACAATTTCCAACATACTTCTCCAGTTTTGGGAAATAATGGCAGCAAGATCTAATGATCTAACAATGTCAGGCTACTTCTAATCCACATGCCATCATCCCCTCTTGAAACCCTGCCACATCAGGAGAAGAAGCCCATCTGACGAATTTCAGCGCCTCGCCCTCCTCATATGTCCTTCTCAATTCCCAAATCTCCAAACATATATGTTGGCTTTGGCAATTAGCTTGGGCTCGCCAGGCATCACAAAACCCTCCCAGAAAAGAGCTTAATCAGGCCAATTCCATAGCCACCAGCAGCACACTCAAAAAAATGCAATTCGAGAAGAGAGAAGTTTTTTTTTTGAAGCGGGCATGATGACATGACTTGAGAGAAAACTACAAGTTCTATATTTCTTGCTGAGGGCACAGCGCATGTGATGTCCTGCAGTACCAACCAAAGTAGAAGACTAGAAGCCCCTCAATATTCAACTTCACTTTCGATGTTCATTGCTTGATTTTTTGGTTGCCAATGCTCTTTTTTTTGTTTTTTTGGGGTCTATTCCCGATTGTGAATGCTGATTCGTATGAATGAATTAGACGTATTTAAATTAGGTGATGTTTGGATTCAGAAGCGATTTTATAATATACAAAGTAAATATATTAAAAAATTTATTTTGATTTACGAAAAAGTGATTTTATTTTTTGCTAAAATATATGTATCTTCTTATTAGAGGTAATTCTATTCGAGGTATTGTCAAGTATTAAATGTGGGCACCTCTCTCAGTAAGAATTCGAATTTTGATTCGTTACGTTATGAGAGACTAGTCCTTTCCGTTAAACTCAAACGAAAAAGTGATTTTAAAACGTACTTCTCATCACTTCTAAACACCGTATTGATGATTTATTTCATATATCACGTAAAATTTAAAATATTCCGCGTGGTTCATAAATAAATAGCGCATCTTATATTATTTTATTGGGTATCATTTTATTCTACACGACAAGCGGCACTTAATTGCCAATTAACCAAAAACTGATCGTTAATGACCATCAACGTCCCCTTCACGGCCAAAAAAATAAAAAAAAATCAATGCCCCCAACCGATCCTTTATCTCTGCCATGTCCGCATCAATGCGTCGTTGCGCTTTCTCCACTCTCAGGAGTCAGGGCCCGTCGATTGGGGGTCTCTGTTGCTGTTAATAGCCCTAAGTCACCTTGCTCTCGTTGTTTTTTTTTTTTTTTTGCCAATTGCTCTCGTTGTTAGCCCTTTTTCTTTCTCAAGAAAATTCAATTCTTGGTTTTCTCGAGAAAGTTAGGGTCATAACAATCATATAATGAGCTTTCAGGATATCGAAGCTGGCCGGCCATTCGCTCCCCGGCGAAACCTCGGCAATCCCAGCCAAGATCCTACACAGGCCGTGGCTTCCGGTATCTTTCAGATCAACACCGCTGTGTCCACGTTTCAGAGGCTCGTCAATACCCTTGGAACCCCGAAAGACACGCTAGAGCTACGCGATAAATTGTGCGTGTGCAGCTTATGATTCCTCATATTATGATTTTTTTGGGCATTTGCGTTATTCATTGTACCACTTAATTGTTTATTTGCGATAGTTTGGTTGAACGAGTGGCAATTTTAGTTTGCACTGATTGCATTTTGTGTTACTTCCTTCTACTGAGAACAATGGATGAGTTAACTTACACTTCTAAGAGCAGTCTGAGTTATAAATAACTTGTCAGTTAAGGAATTCCTTGAAAATTCATTTTTAAAATTTCGGGAGGAGGTAGTTATGAACGTGAGGATGCTAATAGATTTCTCGCTAACATTGTGTATTTGTCATTTTCATTAGTGGTTGAGACCTGGGGAGGCTGTAATTAATTGGACCCATCGACAATAAAACAATTGAAGGAGAGAGATTCTGTGCACCATAGTATTGCAGTTTATACTTCTTTTTAAGGGGTTTATGCTCTATGCATGTTTATTACTTCACTCCCCCCCCCCCTCCCAAAAAAAAAAAAAAAAACACTCTTCTAACTCTAATGACTTATGGCCCTTTCTTTCATAAACATAAGCTGTTTGCACATTATTAAGTTGAATACAGCTTTTCATAGTCAATTCATAACCTAGGCTTTGGTTTTAGATTTATGAGAGAAGCTTAATATCCATTTTTTCACTTGTTGACTGTTTGTAACCTGCAGGCACAAGACAAGACTACATATTGGGCAATTGGTGAAGGGTACATCTGCCAAACTCAAGCAGGCTAGTGAAATAGATCACCATGTCGAAGTCACTGTAAGTTTGAATCTTTATCCTGTATCCTGTATGCATATCCAAGGGAACTGTTTGATGGTCTGTAAATAGTTATAATGAGGATCATATCCTTGTTATGATGAAATTTTGGAATGTGCCTGGAAACTATTTATAATAACTAATTCTTGCTACTTTGTAGTTGATGGCCTTCTATGTCTTTCTCATTGTTGCAGCCAAGTAAGAAGATAGCAGACGCTAAACTTGCAAAAGATTTTCAGGCAGTTTTAAAAGAATTTCAGAAGGCGCAGCAACTTGCGGCCTCAAGGGAAACAGCCTACACTCCTTTTGTTTCACAAGCAAGTCTTCCTTCCAGGTGACTGATTAACAGTGATTGAAGTTGTAACAGTTAAAATGGAAAGACTATGCCCTCTTCGTTTTCTTGTATTTTTCTTCTTTTGCAATTTGCATGTGCATGCAATTTTATTAAGTGAACTGATCTGTATGCAACAATAATTTTCCTTAAAAAGGCTACTTTTCAGTGTTTACTTTGTCTGCACTTGTTTTTGGGTCAATACTTTCTCATCTAGTGATTGTTAGTGCACTGGTATTTCTCATGAAATATTTTACTTATATGCACATATTGCTCATGATACTGGCCATTGCTTTTTGGTTTGCAGTTATGCAGCCAGTGAGGCGGATGTTAGTACTGATAAGACTTCAGAACAGCGTGCTCTCCTTGTGGAATCCAGAAGGTAATTTCTCACATATTAACGGCTTAGACATTCATTTTGATCTCATCGTTGCATTGCCTATTGCCTATTGTAGAGGCCTCTGCTGTATTGTGTAATGCGACTTGGATCAAATATTAGTGTTACCTATTTTCAATATTATTACACTTTTTTTTTTTTTTAAAGATTTCATTATGAGGATGGAAAAATGATAATCCAAAGTATCTTTATCTGTTTTCCCCCATTCTTGTTGTTTGGAGGGGTTGGCCTCAAGACTGATGCTGGGATTTGCCTTTGCATTCTTCTTGTTGCAGGCAAGAGGTGTTATTATTGGATAATGAGATTGGCTTCAACGAAGCTATAATTGAGGAACGTGACCATGGCATTCAAGAAATCCAACAGCAAATTGGTGAAGTAAATGAGATTTTTAAAGATCTTGCTGTGCTTGTTCATGAGCAAGGAGGCATGATTGGTAACTACAATGGGACCCTCTTTTATAGTTCGTGTTGCCCTCGTATCCGTATCAGCTCAAGTATTTTGTTGTCTGGGCTGGCTGCTGTCATTTGATGTCAAGGATTTCCATTTTGTAGATGACATTGGATCCAATATTGAAGCCTCCCACGCAGCAACTTCAGAAGCAAAGTCTCAACTTGTGAAAGCTGCAAAAACCCAAAGATCAAATTCGTCTCTGGTAAGTTTCATTTATCTATTTAATTTTAAATGTCTCCACCTGCTTCCATGTCATAATTTTACACACGGAACATTCCATTTATATGTGCCTTCTGTGAGGTAATACTTCAACTATATTATCTTTAACAGAATGATCGCATTTCCTTTTTCAAAGCTTTGGGTATTTAGGATCGTTGATCTTTGATATCCTTGTTTATCCTTTTTTCTAGACTTGCTTGCTTTTGGTGATATTCGGGGTCGTGCTTCTCATTGTGATCATAGTTCTTGCTGCCTAGTCAAAGACTGTCGCAATTCAAATTATGAAGCAGACCCGTGTCTTCTGAAAATCAGATGGCCTTCACTGATTTCGCAGAGTAATGTTTTACTAGATTTCATGATTGACTTGAGTTTTAACACATCTGATGTGGTATTAACCCTTAACGTAAATATATACATACATATATATATATATATATATATATCTCGCACATATATGGGATTCTCTATGGGCTATGTGTTTTCTTCTCTATATATAGATGTTTGGGTTATAATGGTGTGTCACCCTCCTCGTGCAGTGGCTCTCTTTTTATTTAGTCATCACAAAATAACATTTCCCTGTAAATGCAACAGGTCTCTTGGCGATACGTTACCCCAACACGCGCACGCGCGCACGCACGCACTCACTTTCTTTAAATGACGTCCGCCTCCTGAAAGCTTCACGTTTGCTTGGGGCTGGTCTAACTTGGTACTTGGAGACGATGAAAATGTGTAATTAACCATTTTTTTGTGATAAAAATATCACAGAAAACTTTTCATAATGGTCAGGACTGGAACTGAGAACTTATGATCTATAAACAGCTCAATGTATCAGCGAGGCTCCTACTTCTTGACTAAACTTTTTATTAGTCCGTCTCATTGCAAGTAGTCCTTGAAAATTAAGATAACGATAATGCCCCTTTCATTTTCTTCAACCAGACCAAAGCCTTTCAAATTTTACAAGGCCCTTTAGGAGATGTCAAATCGTCGCCAATTGCAACATGATTACCCTGCGCAATCTTCTACTGCACCGATAATTCCATATCACGTCATCTTGCTCGCGCAATAAAAGAAAACATGCGAAAGAGAAAAAGCGGTGAAATTGGACCGCTGGGTCTAACACTTTTAAAACAAAATTCAATGCATTTTCCAGTATATATTTTGGGTCATTTCTTATTCCGTTTGATTTAGAATAAGAAGTTAAATATCAGCTCCAAAAAAAAAAAAGAATAATAACTTAAACATAATAACAACCGATAGAAAGAAAAAAAAAGTAACAAGTCACCTGAAGCTAAACGCAAGTAATTAACTAATAATAAAAGTTAACAAAGTGAGAATTTAACCTCAACACACTATGCTTGCTTTCTGCCTTTGTAGGGTTTGACGTTAGAATGACATAATGCAGTACAAACAATTACGAGAGTTGACAATAAGGCTGCCAAAAATGTAAAGGTAGAAACAAGGAGAGCATGGGCCTTCCTTCCACAAGGTATTCTCCAGACAATATCACCACCACTCATTTTAGCATCCTCACTTGTAGCTCTGGAGAAACAGCTCTGATTCTCCACATTTTCCCTTGTGCCGCAATGTACCAACACATCTGGGGTACCGAATTTAACTGTCGAATAGCCACTTTCATTTAAAGGCTGCAAAAAATAATGGGCACAAATGATAACGTATCAATACAAGTGAACTCTGATTTTTTTTTTTCCCGGTTTAAAAGGTACTGCAATTAACCTGAAAATCCAACCAGCAACTAATTGGGTAATTGAGAAAAATAAGTCATCACATGGATTAGGGTAGACTAAGAAGGGTACACGTGCTGGTTTCAAACCATAACGGGATGGGATTTACTCACTTGATATCGCGCGTGCAACGGAAGTTCCAAATTGATGTCAGCTGACTGATAAAAGATGTTTGGATCAACATTTAAGTGGATTTCAACAGCAGAACGATTGGACATAAATGAAGGCAATTCTAAATTGGTATCTCCAAAGACAGCTATATCATGAAACACTGCCATAAAGAGCATCATTAATTACAAGAAATCAAGGAGATGTTTCTGAAATTCATAATATGCATTTTTATATTTGAAAGTACTTATAAAGAGCAATTACCACGACGCTGAACAAGATGTTGCAGTTCGAATGGATCAGCAAAAACCCCAGAGGGAAGTCTTTCAATAATTATGAGCTGACATGAATAGTTTATTCGTTCAGATACTGAATTCGTAGGTTGAGTTTGAAATTTGATTGAAGTCGATAAATGACGATGAGAACCTTCTCCAACAAGGTTTCGCTCTAGATCTGACACTTTTAAAATAGATTTATGGTTATCTGGAAGCACTTCACAGATACCACATGGGATTTCTTGAGACAGGAAAGTGTCAAAATCGAGATCATCCAAGAAATTATATCTCTCATAGTAGGATTGAGTCAGAATTTGATTGAAGTTACAAGCCTTAGCGTCACGATTGATAGGGTCGGAATGTGCAGAGCCCCCTATCTGAAAATGCAAAACATGAGCATCAAAGTTAAATTTGAAAACACACAATTGGTTACACCAAAAGAAAAAGAAGAGAAATGGGTTTAGTAACTGTTTGGGCACAATCAAACTTAGCAAGATATCCATGTAGCCCCAGTAAGACAGGATCAATGCAAAATGTCATACTGGTCGGCATTTAATTAAAACTGAATTCATCATTAATGCCCAATTGCCAGTTAAGTTAAAAACAGTACAACATTAGAAATAGCAAGAACAAGAGGAACTCTAGCAAATTTGGCTTGTCTCACAAACCATGCATTACAGTACATAAACTTCTACTGTTTTCTCTTATGTCTGGGGAAGAGAACATAGTAAACCATCAAACGAATATAGATTACAAATAGCTAACAGCAATCAATGTCAGTATCCAACTGATTTAAAATCGCGGCTTCAACTACCAGCAGCACACTCCCTTCCAGAATAACAATGGCGGAATTGTTCAGCAACGAGAGGAACTAACCTCAATTGAAAGTGCTTGATCAAGCAAACGGCTTACAGGGAACCATATTAAGAAAATCCCTCTCAGCAAAGACATGCAGGAAATATAGCGTGAAGCTTCCATAAAGAACCTGAACAACAAAACATATTTGAAGCATTGATAAATCAAAACCCGAGTAAATAGTTCGAAGCCGTTGCCGCAAATTTTTCATCAACTCATCTGCATTTTACGAGTGAAAAGCGAAAGGCCGGCCGATTCTCTGTTTTTTCCCCTCAAAAAAGAAGTCTACCGAAGATGATTATTATTTACCTTCTAAAAGACCAACCAGAATCCTAAATGCATAATAGATAGTTTTACAACAGAAACCGATAAGAATTCAGATTGCTATCGGATGAGGAAGAGATAGAGCAAGCAATGTAACAGAAAATGTTCGCAAAGTTCCCTATTTTCTCATAAACCGTGGCATATAGACAAGAAATATAGATGATGGAATTCAACATCACTGAGTTAGAAAATGCGGAGGACACTCCTATGTTCTCTTTTAAAGGTTTCCATTGGAATGCCGACGACGTGAGTGTTAAGCCAAACAAAATCGATAATCTGGTAGGATATATGTGCATATACTAAATTCCAAGCTCCATAAACAAAATCCTAAGACACCCAGATACGAAGACCCAAGATACCTGTATCTTTAGCCTGAGAGTGGAATTGAAATTTGGCCGAAGAATAAAAAACTTGAGTTGCAGCTGGATCGTAGCCACCGTACTGACTGGAGCTTCAGATTGCAACTCTTGGGTTGAAATTGGGTGGCAAATATTGGGCGGCAGACGGGCGCGGGATGCGCATTCAAGGCTGTGTCCGGGGGCTTTTAAATGGACGGTCGGGATTTAAAGAAATTGGACGGCTGAGGTGAGTTTTAGCCACTAAAACGGTGCCGTAGAACAACGGTGCTGCGGGCTGCTGGTCTTCCTCCTAGGTGCATGATTACGTTTACCTGGAGTGGAAGTACGCATACAATGAGTAGTTCATCGCCGGCACATTCATCAATATCAACGACGGCGATTGCCGGTGGCGGAGGAGCCGGTGGCAGTAATTCAACTCTTTCTGCTGACGATTTCCATTTCCCGTGTGATCCTTTATCAACGTACGAGCGAAAGGACGAGGCCATGTTAGGTTACTTCTACATTCTCTTCTCTCCACAATTATTTCAAAATTTATGGCTTGTATTGTGCGTTTCTTCATTTTATATCCAGAGTTCTTATAACTTCTCGCTAAATTCGTTACTGTGCGGTTATCTAGAATTGGAATATTACCGATTCGATGAAGTTAAAAACGAGCGTTTAATCTCGCCTCCATTCTTTCTGCCGATTTTGTTCTCGAAGCCTTTTAAGCTGCCTTCATAATTTTCTGCCTGAGCTGAGTGTTATGAGATGACCTATTCCGCTGCTTGTTTGGAGAATAATAAGCTGAGTGATAGTGAGAATATGTAATACTTGTTCAGTGGTTTACCTCCCCCCCCCCCCCCCCCCCCCAAAAAAAAAAAAAAGAATACTGAAAAATAAGCCTCGGTTTCATGGTTCCCCTCACGCCTGAAGATTCTTCTGTTCCTAAAGCTTCTGCAAGAATTAAGAAAACAAGGAAATGTTGTATAAAATTTGTTTATTTTTGCTTCCAATATCCTCCGCTGTTAATCAAATACGTTACATTTCATGCGAGAAATCTCAAGGTATATTTATCGAGAATGAATATCCTTCAAATTATTGCTCTTGTGGTTCTATTTTCCCGGGTTACCTTATGTACTGAATTGTTCTGTCTTTAGAAGGGATGACACGATTTCTCGATGTAAAACAGTGTCAAAATTTCTATCCTATGGACAAAAGGTCCTGTCATTTCAGCTGATCAAAGGAGAATCCTATTTTCTGGGCTTTTCTATGCCAGTGTTCATGAATTATATCTAAATTCTTTTATAGCAGCATTTGTTTAAGTGATGAAATTCAGTCATAACGTTATTTCGTTACCATAACCAGCCAATTTAAGGATTGGATAATCGCGTCTACTTCTATTGTTCATTGTGGATTCTGTGATTCCTTGTTTTCCCACTGCTAAGCTAATGGGGTTTAATCTTACCATGTAACCTCAGTTTGAGTTCTTGTTAAGACTAACATCTGAGGGATCTGTTTTTATCTTGCAGGATCCTTTTACTCTTTCAAAAAATTGTAATATTGTAATAACATCCTTTAATAAATAAACATTTGGGCCAAGAAAATTAATGGACATCTTGTTTTTTTAGCAGATTTTCCTTTTATATACCAAAGCCTGAAAAGCTATCTATAATAATTATTTTAACCCATATTCCTTGCCATCTCTAATGGTTTTTGCATGGAGTGCTGCATTTGTCTTCTTCAGTTTTGGAGCTGAAGTATAACAACATTCTGTCTGTGTTTCCTAAATTAACCCGTGAAGCGTGCATTTAAAGAATCTGCTTTGTGATCTTGCAGTTCTAAAAAAAGATCTCATGGCTGCGCTTGACAAGGAGGTGAAATCCTTGGATGAGGATAACTGGAAGTTTGAAGGTCCTCGTTCTCGGATCCACCTTGTTTCAAGGGGAGGAGGTTAGTTTATCATCGCTGAACAATACTTTGCTGGATTTCTCTATTAAAATGTGTGACTCTAATTCTAACAGTTTATGTTAAATATTGATTGTGCCAACCCATTTTGATTATGTCATGCCATTAAAACTAGCTTAAATGCAATGATTTTTCCTGATAGGGTTGAAAGTGTGGTAAACATCAATAATGGTGGATTTTACGTAACATGTTGGGTTTGGTCTTAAATGCATTGTTGAAGTTAGATAGTCCAAAGTTCTGTCTATCAAAAACATACATGTTTGATTTACACTTATCTGACAAATCATAAAATTTATTCCTTACTGATACAGAGAAAAGGGAACCTTTGCTCAAAGCTATCATATCCATGCACTTGATACTAAGACTTCCTTAAAGAACTAGCTGATACTAATTCTAACTAATCCCATGTAACATTTGCCCTTTTTTCCCTATTTGCTTAATTCTTTGGCATAGGTATAATGATCTAAGTTTAACTGATATAGCACTTTTTCAGCTTGATTTGTTATTGTACAGCATTTTTTGCCCCCTTTGCATGGCTCTGGATGGTACACAAGCATACCTGTTCCTTTCATGGGCTTGGACATCCATAGATTAATGCATTTCCTCTTAATATTCCGTTACAGGGGGTTTTCTTCGCAAGCCCTCAGGCATCTTAGAATTGGAATTGACTCAACCAGAACAATAAGAATTCTCTGACCTCAAGGATCCAGATTATTATGATGTGCGGTGGTTTTTATTTGTCAAAGAGTCCAACTATTTTATGTGAGACTCAGTTACATCCAGCTGCATAATTCCCTTGCGTTCATGAGAATTGGACGCCATATATGTAGTTATTTATGGTTAAAATATGGTAAAGCATATATTTTTGGGTTTTACGGTGTTACCTAGATGTTACTCGAAGCTGACCCTGTACTATGTTTGTGGTGACATGTTTGTTTAACGCCAATGGATGGGTGTTTATGTTTGCTAATGAGATGATCTTGGTCCTATCATATTAAAATCCTTCCACTCTTGGATGGAGTTTTAAATGCGCCTTTAAGCAAAACCAGGTTAGTTTAGGGCGTGTTAAATATGCATAAATTGCGGGGGTAAAACACATGTTATGAGGCAGTGAGAGCAAGTATTTTGGTTGAGTTCTAATTGTACATTAACATTGTTAAATAAAAATTCCATTATATCACAGCGAACTTTTTGGATGTGTAACAAAACAAAGAAGCGAACAGTTGAGATTAACTGTAAACGGTAAATAGATGACTAAGGTGGATTCACCCAATCCAAATCCGCATCATGATTATTTATCAGTACAAAATCAATTCTTCAAACTGACGAGTGACAAGATATGGAAGAACATCTACGGTGAATGAAGAAGGGATCCCAAAATATATTTCAGCTTCATCCTCAACAATTTCTGGTTAACCCCAATACGATCTGGGAAACTTATTAGAGGGAGGGAGATTATCGAAATGCTCAAATTTTGTGGCATATAGCGGAACTTTTGTGGCATATCGCTCTAATTTTCACAATTATGAGTACTCTCGGTTCTTATCATAGAACGTTAAATTTACTCGAAGGATTCCGTTTATTTCATGTACGAGGTGGGAAATAAACGATTATGAACTTCCTAATTTCTAATTTCAAACAAAAAGATTTTGTCTTTCTTCCTAAACCCAACCCAAAATATGATTCAAGATTATTTGAAAATGGAAAAGAAGAGTCCAGCGGTATACTTCAAGAATGCAGAAGATAATTGAGCAATCCTTTGCTAGAAGGGCAAGACTTGGTACTCACAAATGGGTGATCAAGAAGCTCACCGACTGTTGCTCTTTTCCTCCAATCCTTCTCTAAACATCTCTGCACAAAGCTTTTGCACTCTGGTGATGCCTTCTCTGGCATTTCAAGCTTCTCACCAGAACAAATCACACACATCAATGTGACCCAGTCTGGTTTCTGCCCTGCATCAGTAAAAGGGAAATGACCCAGAAGACATTCTAACATCAAAACTCCTACTGACCACACATCCCCAGCAAACCCATCCATATTTTCACCACCCCATCTCTCCGGATCAACTCTTTCTGGGCTCATATAAGCACACGTGCCTGCATTACAATCTGATGCCTCAAACCTTCCTTCTACCACATGACTGACTCCAAAATCTGCGATCTTCACCTCCCCTTTGTCATTCACAAGCAAGTTTGAAGGTTTGATATCTCTGTGCACTATGTTCATGCCATGCAAATACTTGAGTCCTTCCAAAACTCTCTTTGTCAACACAGATATCACTTCCTCTGGTAGTGCTTTGTGTTCTCTCAACACGTCATGTAATGAACCCCTTTCCATGTATTCCATAACAAAGCTAATGCCGCCGCCACCACCATTTACATGAGATTCACTGCAATTATTGTCAAAAACTGCATGGCACCTCACAATATATGGGGAATCCACTCTTCTGAGAATCTCCGCCTCACGTTTAGCCTGCCGAGATATTTCAAGAGCATTCTGGTTGAACCTGAGGACTTTCAAAGCATAGAAGGTTTGGTTCTTCTTGTGATGGACTTTATACACTGTACCGCCATTGCCATGGCCGAGAACTGTGAGTTTCTCGAGGCTCAAAAGGTTGTTGGTGGCCAGAGAGTTGCTACAGGAGGCTGGGACTTGGGTTTGATTGCAGAAATGTGGTTCGGGAACTGGAGGTGATGGTAAGGAAAGCCTCAGAGCTTCCTGATGCCTCCTTTCTCTTACCAATGTCATTTACACCTGCACTTGAAAAATAAAACCAGTGATGCCCTTCTGTGATGTTACTTTCTTACTTGTGAGGATATAAAAATAGGAAACAGATCAAAGTGAGATTCAAGGGACACACATTCTTGAGTGATTAGTGTTTGTGATAATTCCGAAATAGATGGGCAGGTGAGGTTTTGGTGGTGATTTCAGAGCCTAGTGGCTGTGATTGTAGTTTGTTCTATGGCTTAGGTATGTGCTTTTTCTGCCATTTGTTACTCACCATTTCTTTTTAGTTTTTTTTTTCTTTTTCTCAATTGTCTTACCATTAATAGCTCTAGCCCAAATTACGTGGCTTCAGTGTGAACTTGTGTGTAAAGAAGCAAGATGATCTGTGCATATAGAATACTGGCAATTGTAGATTTGCGACAACATCGGGCATCAAGGGTGAAATGGCATCAAATGGTTTATTTTAACAAAAATTATTGTAAATATTCTTGACAATTATAGTTATCTATAAATGCTAAGATTTATTATAAAATTTTAAGAAAATTATAATTTTTTAAGATTTTTTTTTCTGTGTGAGGATCCTTAGGGATAATTTATCATATCAAGATTGATAGCGACTTGATGGGGATTTGTACAGAAAATTGTTAAGCATACAATAGCAACATCCACAATTAGAGAAAATCCCTTCATCAAATTATTCGGATCGCAATCCGAAATGAAAGGAAAAACCACGTATAAAAGGTAGCAGTGCTTATCAAACTAAAACTAAGCAAACTGCAACGTCTATATATATATATATATATATATATATATATATATATATATATATATATAAGTAGGGCTCAAAGTTTAACTCCAAACGCGACACAAGTCTCTCTGTAATGACACATGGCTTTTCCCTTAAAAATTTGATAATAAGAGCCATGTGAAATCAATAGAATTTTTAATATGATTTATGTGAATTTTTTTTATTTATAAATATTTGATATGAGTGGGTTTTCTATGTAAAAATCAGTTGGCAAATGATATGTGATATCAACCACAATTATAGTGATTAAGTCAGATATTTAAAAATTGAATTATCAATCAATATCATTTTGAAAATTGATTTAATGGGGGCAATCTAAATTCCTTTTTAAAAAAAAAAAATCTAAAATCATATTAATGGCATTTGAAATGTTGCTTCATGTAGTTATATATTGCCCATGCCTCCACAAAATGGTAATGAAGTAAATATAAGAAAAAAAACATTCTGGCCAACAAAAAATAAAATAATGCCTCAAATGCACTTTCTCGTGACTCCTTTGATCCACATTATAAATCACCTTTGAGAGTCTAACAAACAAAGAAAAAGATATGTTAAGAGGGATGATTCAAAAGTTTGATCTTCGGTTTTAATTATAAAATCTTATTTGGAGCCTACAAATAATATTTTATCATTAAGACAGGAAGTAGTAGAAACATTTATGGTCCGTAGAGCTGCTAATAATCACGAGTTGGAGGCACGGCCAGCTTGTCTACAAACACGGCCCTTTGTTTGCAAAAGGTCTTTTTCTTTTTCAAAGGAAATAGTCGATTGCTTTTCAAATACCACAATACTGAGAACCTCGACCCACCATCAAACATATCTAGTTCTTGAAATCCTGAAGACTTTCCTGAGCATGAATAAAGAGGCGTGACAAAACAAGGCGGCCCAAGAGTAACGGCTAGGGGATGGCAGAGAGACAGAATTCCGGAGAGAAATTTCAGGGGCAGTTCCATTTATGGGGGAAAAACTGGCTGTCTGTACCAGGACGACAAATGAGTTGGTACAAAAAAATCAAAGGCCGAACTTACAGCAGCTGATGTGACCATGACATCATAATTTTAGATTCAACATGAAATCAAAAGATATACGTAAATGTAAACAAGAAAATTAGACTAGGGTCTCATATGCACAAACTTGACCCAAAAAGACCAAACACAAATCATCAGCTACTTTTCCAATGAGCAACTGCCGATGCGGTTATATTTTAGACATCTTTTCCCTTGCTTTTGAATTTTATATATTAGACATCAGTTCCGTGCTGTTTGAGCCCGGGGATACCTTGAAAAAATGACATAATTCTACATTTTGTAGAGTGCCAATCAAACTTTTTTTGCGTCAGAAGAAAGAAGCCCCATCTGCTCTGTAAGTTGATCCATATTTTCCGCTTTGTCCCATCCATTTTCGACTGCCTGCGCCTCATTTCCCTTTAACACATCAGCAGCATCAATCTCAATCTCCCCCGGCAATGGACTTTGCACGAAGTCATCCCAAAAAGAAGAGTTGCGTAACAAGTCATCAATGTCAGTATCAGGCGAAATACTACCAATATCAATGGGCATCGACCCATTTACCCCCAGTAAGTTAGGATCCATGAATCCCTCATCTCCTGTTTCAGGTCCCATATAATTCTCTTCAGGAATATCAAGAATACTTCCTGTCGCCATCTCTGGTATTGAAGAAAGCTCAGGCATGACATCTACCTCAGAAACAGGGACAGAAAGTTTCTCAGATGCACCAATGAGCACATTTACATCGGGGTATTGAGCAGTCGTAACTTTTTCAGAAGCCCCATACTGTGGAGAAGACTGTTTTTCAGACTTGCCAGCTGAGGGAGCATTCACTGAAGTTGGGGGGACCTCTTGAAGGGTTACTCCACAACTCCGATTTGAAGTGCTCCCACTGTCCATTGCCCCTGATGATGTTGAGCCATCGCCGATCAAGTAATTGTCTGAGTTATTATTGAAAGATTCTAGCCAAGGGGTATCCAATTTCATGATCTGCCTCAACATTGCTTTAGCAGCTTCATTCATCAAAGGTTGGTACTTAACAATTTGTCCATCAGAAGCAGTAGCACACTCTGTTTCAGGAATACCCTCCTGCTTAAGGCGTCGTTTTTTGTTGGCTTCAGTTATGCGTCTATTGCTCTCATTTTGCTGTTGTACAAACTGTGTCAAGAAGCCAGGGCTCTGGACAGCCTTTGCAAGGAATGACATCATTTGCTGCTGACGTTGTTCCATGCCCTGAAGGCGCTGAACCATCTGTTGCATCTGGTTATCAGTGGCCTGTTGCTGTTGTCTCAACCTCACAAGCTCCTGCATGAGCACATTCTTATCTCTTTTGAGCCTTTCAACCTCTTCCTCTAGACCAAACTTCCCAACCTCTACACATGGCCCTACAGATGAACTCTGCCCATGAGATTGTTGTGCCTGTTGCGGACTATGACCATGGGCAGGTTTC